ATGTTGGTGAAGTTTGTGGCTTTTAGATTCAATTGCGTCTTATTGCTTCACCAATGAGTAATAAATTTTGAAATTTTGGGCTTGATACGTTACTAATATAACTTTGTAGTTGTAAGTAAACACTCTCTGTATGTGTTTGAGGTTATGAGTGACTTTTATTAAACAAAATCTGAACACAAATAGATTAAACAAAAACACAGTAATGGGGTTTCCCAAAACCCCAGATTAAGATTCTTTTGAGTAAAACAAAAAACAAAAAACAAAAAACCTTCTCAATTATCCTAAACAGAGGAGAAGAAAAAAAGTTATACCAAAAGTCTTTTTTCACAAATATTCCAACACATTCTTCGGCGGATCAATCCAAATACTCTGAGGAGGACAAAGCTCCAACCACTCCTCACGTCGATTGTACCTACTCTCATCAAAAGAGTAAGAGAGACAGCTCTTCCGATTATAACCAAACCTCGAGAAACACACATTGTTCCTCATCCACGGCAAATCCTTCCTCACCTCCGCATTAAAAAAGCTGATAAAGATCGTCAAGCCATCAAGCTTATCACCTTTCATCTCCTCCCAATGCGTAGTCACTAGCTTATAAACCTTCACCGGCTTCTTCACACGGCTCGTAAACATGAGAAAGAGCTCTCCTTTCCTCTCCGCCAAGCTAACTTCCCTCTCGTTCAACTCAAACCTCATGTGAAAATACATATACGCAGAGGCAAGAAAGTTCCATTTCCGTGACGAAGGGGTAAACGAATACAAGCAGCCTCTCTCCGCCGTGAAGCAGTAGAACCGATCATTCGCGTACACAAGGAGGTTATGCGTATGACGTTGATCGAAATCGGTAGGGAAGTCTTGAGAAGTCCACTCGGTAGCTCCTGGATGCCAAGTGCTGATACTGACGAGATACTCTGTGACGAAGTTCAACGCCACCACAACGCAGCCATCTGATGTTGGAGGAGAAGAGAATGCAATCTCACGGAAATGGAGATCGAACTTAGGTAATGCTATGAGCTCTCGAGTGAAAGGGTTGAAGAAGAAGAGCTCGTTGGACACGGATCTGCGACGCATTAGCAACCAGCCGTCTCTTGTGCAACAGACGTTGGATTTAGCTAGCTCTGGGAGGTTCAAAGTGTGGAGCTTCCATTGCAAGGGGTCGCGGAAGTTAAAGGAGCTTCCGCGTTTAGGGAAGCACATGAGCCATGGATGTTGTTCAACTGAGCGGACGTAGACTGCAGCTTCGAGCCATGACTTGCAAGCTGCAGAGGCACGGATGTTGTCTTTGAGAACGAGATGAGACATGATCACTTCCAATAGGCATGATGGAAGATCTGCGAAATTCAAATTCGATAACTTGTTGTTCTTCGGAGCTTTTTTCGATCTACAAAAACAGAGAATTGAGTGAGATTAGATAAAGTTGTGACCTTTTTACAAGAATTGAGCTTCGAATTAGCCAAAGTTGTGACCTTTATACAATAATTAAGATTCAAACTTCAAATTAGCCAAAGTTGTGACATTTTTACAAGAATCAAGCTTCAAATTATCAAAAATTGTGACATTTTTACAATAATTAAGCTTCAGAATTAGCCAAAGTTGTGATCTTTATACAAGAGTTGAGAATTAAGAACTTTATACATGAATTAAGAACTCTGAGCGACTTTCAAATTCGATTGAGATTCAAGCCAATTAAGCCCCAAAATTTTGATAAATGATCGAGAGAGTGTAACGAACCGTTTGCGCGGGACGGAGGATGGAGACGGAGAAGGTGACGTCATGGTCGGAGACGGCGGTGATCGCTACTGATAAAGGTTCCGATCACATGAACATTTCCAGCAATTCTCTCTCTTTCTGATTCCGTGATTGATGATTGTTGAAACAGAGACGGAATTGAAATCGGTGAATTTGAGCTCTCCCAATTTGTACATCTCTTTTAACTTACTCGATTATTCGCTCATTTCTCTCCACTCTCCGCAACCATTTTCGCCGTAGGCATCCTCTGTTCTTCTTGGTTGGTGGTGGTGGTGGCTAGACAACACAACGGCCGACGTCGCATCTTAACCCTAATTTAAAAAAACTTGTTTGTGCTTCCTAATGGGCTTAAAAGCCCAAATGAAAATAGGCCCAACATAGTTAGCCCAACAAAACGAAAATCTCAAGCCCATTAAAGATCCTATAGCTTTATTAACTTGTAACTCACGCAAGTAGTCCAAGAAACAATCTTGAAAAACTTGATTTTCTCGATTTAAATCGAAAGAGTAGAGACATCAAATCAAGTCCTACAATTAACTCTTGCACCAAAACGATATGTTTTCTTAAAAATCCGAAGTCAAAAGAAGCTTCACCATTTGCTTTGGCTTCACAACTATCATGCAAAGCTCTCACAAAAAGACATGAAGTCTAAAACGTCCTTCGGTGGATCGATCCAAAGGCTACCAGGAGGACAAATTTTTAGCAGGTCCATACACCCAAATTCATAAGACCTGTGGATCGATACACGACGCTTGCCATCGTAGCCATCCATTGAGCGATACACATTGTTACTCGTCGGGAGATTAGTTCTCAACTCCGAGTTGTAAAAACTGATAAAGATTTTCAAGTCATAAGTCGTCTTACTACTACTCATCTCTTGCCATGTCAAAGAAACTAGTTTATAGACCAATGGCTCCTCCTCCTCGTTTCCGCATGTAAACAAGACAAAGAGCTCTCCTTTCTTCTCTGCCAAGTAAACTTTTCTACTTCTAGGCCTATACTTCCGATAATGGGATTTGAGTTCATACGCATCATGAAGATTCCATGTGCCTAAAAATTGGGTGGAAGTAATACAACCTGCCTCCATCGTTAAAACAATAGAAACGATCATTAAGATAAACAAGCTGGCTATACTTGTTGCGTCGATCAAAACTTGTTGAGAACTCCTTAGTAATCCACTCAGCTGCTACATGAGGATGGCAAGTGGTGATAATGACAACATGAGTCATGCTAAAGAACTTTAACGCTACCACAACACAATTATCGGATGTAGGAGGACAAGAGAATGCAACCTCGTCAAAAGACATCTCACAGTTGAGCAAGCTTATGAGCTCCTTGGAAAAAGGGTTGAAGAAGAACATGTCATTTGATTTGTATTTACGCATAAGTAACCAGCCTTCTCTTACGTAACACACTGTGGAGTTAGCTAGCTCTGGTATATTCAAAGTGTAACACGAGCATTGCAACGGATCGCGAAGTTCAAACGATTTGCCATGTTTAGGAAAACACAAAAGCCAAGGATGCTTTCCCACTACACGAACAGATTCTGCCGCTTCACGGAATGACTTGCAAGCAGTGGATGCAATGATGTTGTCTTTTAACGTAAGATGAAACATTATTATTTCTATGAGGCATGATGGAAGATCAGCGAAACTCGGATTCAATGCCTCGTTCCTCGGAGTTTTGGATCTCCTAAACAAAGAAATAATACTTCAAATCAGCCAAAGTTTATTTCTTCTCAAAGTGAAAGCTAATATTTCAACGTTCAAGGTATAACTCTAAACGAAACAATAACAAACAAAAACGAAGAAAAAAAACTCTCAGTGGGAAATATTTTAAGAACCCTAAAAACCTTTGATATCTAATTTAGATTTTTAGACCAATTTGCTCAAAACAGATAAATCTCCATCGAACATCTCGAATTCACTGACACTGAGTAAGTGAGTATCATAATATATTTCGTAAAAACTGCTTGAGATACAAACCGGCTACGTGTGACGGTGGTTGGAGACGGCGAAGGTGACGCCCTTTTAGGAGAAGGCAGAGATGGCGCCATATTCCGAGACGGCGGTGATCTTTGACGGCACAATAGTGGTCGCATGTGGTAAAATAGATATATTATATAATCTTAGGGTTTCTGTTTCATTATTTTCAACACATTGTGATTTTGTTAGTTTGGATTTGGTGATATCTTACAAAACTTCGTTTCACTTGATGATATCTTCTTTCTCTCTTTCGCATGAATATCATTCTTCCGAAATTACATAGCTAAGTGAATTTCAGGTTTTAATCTAAATTTGTGTTGATGTGACATTAATTAAAAAACACTCAAATTAAATATTACATATGACAAACCTTAGACCAATTTACTGAAAAATAATATATTCTGAATAGAGAAACCCAAAACCAAACAAAAAAAATCATATTTTTACTCTAAATCCATAACCTTTTTTTTGTTCTTTCAAGATCCTTCGTCAATAAAAAAAACAATCACAAGTTATTATAAAACGTTCTCTGGCGGATCTATCCATACGGTGTCAAGAGGGTGTGGAATGAGCTTGTTTTCCAACTGGTCAAACAGATTGTATCTGCTTTCATCGAACGAGTAAGTTACACAACGCTTGCCGTTGTGCTTTGAAAAATAGACATTGCTTCTCAACACAGAGTTATTAAAACTGACAAACATGTTCAAGCCACCAAGCTCAGTATCACTCATCTCTATCCATTTCAAAGAGACTAACCTGTAGACCATTGGCTTCTTGTTGTTGCATGTAAACATGACAAAGAGCTCTCCTTTCTTCTCTGCCAAGTAAACTCTTTTTTTCTTACTATATTTTTGATAAGGGCATTTGAGTTCATACGCACGATTCCATGTGCAGGAAGATGGGTGAAAGTAATACAAGATGCCTCCTTCGTTAAAGATATAGAAACAATCATTGAGGTAAACAAGCTTGCTACGCTTCTTTCCTTGATCAAAACCATGCTTAGGGAAGCTATAAGCAATCCACTCAGTTGCTCCGTGATGCCAAGTGCAGATAGTGACATATTTATTATTCACATCAAAGTTCAACGCTACCACAACACAATTATCCGACGTAGGAGGACAAGAGAATGCAATCTCCAGAAAATCCAGCTCAAACTCAGGCAAGCTTATGAGCTCCCGAGAAAAAGGGTTGAAGAAGAACATTTGGCTTGAGATCATTCTCCATTTACGCATAAGTAACCAGCCGTCTCTTGAGCAACACACATTAGATTTAGCTAACTTTGGCAGATTCAAACTGTACGACTTCAGCTGCAATGGATCGCGGAATTCAAACAAGGTTCCTTCTTTAGGAAAGCACATAAGCCAAGGATGATGCTTTTCCACTACACGAACATATTCTGCCGCTTCACGCCATGACTTGCAAACAGCAGATGCACATATGTTATACTTTAACACAAGAAGTGACATTATTATTTCTATAAGGCACAATGGAAGATCAGCGAAACTAGGATTCAACGCCTCGTTACTTGGAGTTAATTCAGACCTACAAAACAAACATATAAACTTCAAATTATGCAAAAGTTTGTGACAGATATTGTTCCTTATCCATGGGAGGTCAGTTCTCATCTCAGAGTTATAATCACTGACAAAGAATGTCAAGCCATCAAGCTCAGTATCACTCATCTCTTTCCATTTCAAAGAGACTAACTTGCAGACCATTGGCTTCATGTCTTTTAGGTATGTAAACACGACAAAGAGCTCTCCTTTCTTCTCCGCCAAGTTAACTTCTTTACACCAACCAATATAACTTATTTTGCGTCCACACGCCTTGTGACACTCCCATATGCGGGAAGATGGACGACAGTAATACAAATTTCCATCTTCGGTAGTGCAATAGAAAAGATTATTGACATAGACAAGCCAGCTACGCTCTTTGTGTCGATCAAAATCAGTTAGGAAGTTGGTAGTCTTCCACTCAGTTTCTCCGGGATGCCAAGTGCTCATAGAGCCACGATAATGCTTATCAAAGTCCAACGCTAACACAACACAATCACCCAATGTAGGTGGACATGAGAATGAAAGTAGATTATCAATACGGAGCTGAAGCTTAGGCAAGCTTATGAGCTCCCGAGAAAACGGGTTGAAGAAGAACAACTCGTTTTCGAACCATCTATGCATAAGTAACCAACCGTCTCTTGAGTAACACACGGTTGAGTTAAGTAACTCTGGTAGATTCATAGTGTATGATTTCCGTTGCAATGGATCACGGAATTCAAACAAGTTTGATCCATCCTTAGGAAAGCACATAAGGCAAGGATGCTTTTCCACTACACGAACAGAAACTCCAGCTTCACGCCATGACTTGCAAGAAGCGGATGCACGGATGTTATCTTTTAACACAAGATGAGACATTATTAGTTCTATAAGGCATGATGGAAGATCTGCGAAACTCGGTTTCAACGCCTCGTTCTTCAAGGTTTCGGATCTACAAAGCAAACAACTAAACGTCAAATTATGCATAAGTTTGTGACTTTCAAATTCGTATAAAAGTGAAAGATGTAATATATCAAATCAAGGTATCTTTGGTCAAGAACTCCAACGTACACAATACGAAACAAACAAAAACACTCCAACCAAAAAAGTTAGGTTTAGTTAAGAAATATATCGATAAAAATTTCCCGATTATAAACACTCATAGAGAAATTAAAATTTGATTTTATTCAGATTCAAACCAATTTGTCAAATCAAATCAAACTGAATATTATAATTTGTGAACACAGCTTGAGAGTAACAAACCGTCTAGGTGGGACAGTGCTTGCAGACGACGAAGGTTACGCCATGGTCGCAGACAAAGGAAAATTGAAATCTTAGGGTTTGTGGTGTTTTGTCGTTTTAGACATCCTACATATAATAACCTTACGTGTATGTTTTGTTTCTTGGATTGCAACACTTGTACACTGTCTAGACTCTAGAGAGGTTCTGGATCGAATTGTCTCTTGGGCCCTAATAAGGCTTCCAGCTTTGTACAACAAACATACTGTATCCATTTAAATTAATCAAAAAACGTGTTTTAAAAAAAAAATGTATGTTTTGAAGTTTGAACATAACAAACATCTAAACAATAGTGTACTAAACTAAACGAGGACAATGACATGGGGTTCTCTCTCAAATTCCAAATTTGGATTATATGACATAGTGTCAGTCGGAGACACACAACATCATAGCTTTGACAAATAGTCTAAAACGTTCATGGGCGGATCAATCCAGAGGCTATAAGGTGGACAATGTTCCAGCCACTTTTGCCATAGTTTACGCGGCATGTATCTCCTTTCGTCGAACGAGTAGGATAAACAATACTTGCGAGTGTTGCCATACCTCGAGAAATAGACATTGTTCCTCATCCATGGGAGATCAGTTCTCAACTCAGAGTTATAAAAACTGACAAAGAATGTCAAACCATCAAGCTGATACGTACGATTCAACTTTTCCCATTTCAGAGAGACGAGTTTATAGAACATTGGCTTCCTATTCCCCCTTGTAAACATGAGAAACAATTCCCCTTTCTTCTCTGCCAAGTAAACTGATTTCTCCACCGACTTAGACTTCTTTGTAGGAAGCTTATAAGGGCATTCGAGTGTATACGCATGATGAAAATTCCATGTCCTGGAAGATGGGTGAAAGGAATACAAGCAGCCTTTTACTGCGTTAAAGCAATAGAATCGATCATTGACATAGACAAGCTTGCTTTGCATATAAACCTCCTTAAA